ACAACAATTAATTTATTATACAGAAAATAATTTATTAATTAAGATACATAATAAAAAAATTGAATTAAAATGTTATGTAATATAGAAAAATTATTAAAATTAAGATTTTAATGTGCCAAAATTTAATTTATTTTATAATTTCATTTATTTCTGTTTCAATTTAAATTGAAATGCCTTATGCATTTATGTACAAATATTATAAAAATTGTATTCAAATTAAATATTAACAAAAATTCCTTGTTATTATTAATTGAATAGTAGTTTACTATGTACACGTACAAAATATAAAAATTGTATTAATTTTGATTTATTATCATGCGTAATCCAATTTTTAATGTAAAATTATTTTTACGTATAGTGTATATAAATGAATTTAGTTGTGTGCATATATCCGTAATAAAATGATCGTAACAATAAACAAAAATTAAATGCGTAAGATTGCGAAAACTTTTCTAATAATATAGAAAATTACATCATGTTTTTAGTGTTTAATATAAGCCAGTACTTATCCAAAGATCAATATAAATGCATTAAATTTAAATACCAAATTAAATAATTAATAAGTCAGCGATCATACTTTAAATTATTCCTTCATAATGGTTAAGGAATCGACAAGATTTATCTACCCCCTATATATTTTTTTAATATTTGTTCACACTTAAATATAAACTAATTCTGTCGGTATTTTATTTCCCTCCGTATATGAAAGGGCGAAGAAAAATGTACAGTAACAGTGTAACCGCCTTTTCTCTCTTTCTCTCTCCTTTCATTCCCTTTACGCTCTTCTATTCTCTAACTTCATTCTCTAACATCCATTATTACAAAGAATAGAAACAACGTCAAGTGGAATTTGACTCTTTTTGTCCTAATGCACAGCTTTATCTCATTCGCTCGAATTCCCGTTTCATGGGACAACATAAAAATCGACGCACTCTATATTTGATAACAAATTCAAACGAGTCCATATGCATTTACTCTGTGCGCATTTTATATTGGCTTTATTGCCTCTCCACCCTTTTTGCTTTATGTGAAGTGGTAGTAAGATTCGGTACAGTGCCAAAATGTATTATAGCCTCCAAATTTTTCAAGTTAACCGGATACTGCATAAATATTTTTTCGCGTATTCATGAGTCACTTATGTACTTTATAAATATTTATAGCAGGTTATATTAACTTCAATTATTTAAAATATGAATTTTAACATAAAATGTTGTATGTGTATAAGAAATAGAGAATTATTTAATGAAACGTTTCAGTTACGTGATCAAAATAATGCTGCAACTCGTATTGAAATTTTTCGATTTATAAAATCACTTTGATAATTCTTCCACAATTTAGAAATAATGACACAATAACTTATTACGATTTTAAATATTTAAAAATAATAAATACCAGTCTTTTGATTAAGTTTATACTAAATATTTTTAATATAATTTATTATTAAATTTTATAGATACTATGAAAAAGAACACATTTACCAAAAAAGTACCAATAGTTATTCTTCCTTTTTTTATTTTAAAATTATGATAAGTTTCACTACCTTCATTAAAGTGACTTTACTTTAATGAACTTCTCACTATATTTTGAAATAGTCGGTTACATCTTCATTATTTTGATAATCAAAAAGCATATTTACAATAAGCCTTATGGAGAAAATTTTATTTTAAGAAATTAAAAGAATTTACAGAAAAGTTTGGAAAGAGAGCAATAGAAACTGTGAGTATGCATATGTGGCCTTGCGTGCTCTGTGTAATAGACTACGTGTATGCATCTGTGTGTGTGGCTATGCTAGAATGTAGACATTCATAGATGTGTGAATACTTATACACATACATGTACGAACAACTTAGAAAGTTTTCCGATTCAGACGATCGTCTGAAATTTTGAGTGTTCGACATTGAAATTTTAAACATTATATACTAAAATAAAATTTCAATGTGTCGCTAAGCACTATAATTAAAACAAATAAAATCCGCTACAATTACATTATGATTTATTTTATTAAATGACAATACAAAATATGAAAGTTCAATTTCATTTTACATGAATGGATATTTAAAGGTCCCAAAATTTTTGAAATTCCTAGATAAATGTAAATTGCAACTGGAATATAAAATTTAAATTAGGAAAATGAAGGATAAAAGTTTAGTAGCCTCAAAAAATAAAATATTGTAAAAATATATAAAAATATTGATATTAATTTTTGGAGTATGTGAATCAATTAAAAACCGTCAATTTAATGAACCGATCAAAAAATAATTTCCTTTAGCAATGAATATATACAAATTTATTGAAAATGTAATGTTGATAATTTTTAAGAAGTTTAATTTAAATTTACAATGTAAATATTTTGAATCTTTTGAATTATTTATATTATTTTATTTATTTAAATAAACTTGATACTTATTGTATAAAGTTAATACTTTAAATATATTACAGATAAATAATTAAATATTACGAATGTCTAATGTCAAATAAACATTTCCAAACTTTTACTATATGGATGTAACACAATTACGGTCAGAAAAAAAATTGGAGAAAGTCGGTCAGCGCTAGTACAAAGAAAACAAGCACACGAATGGAACAGTTGAATAAGTTTCAAATGAATTATCAATTAGTTAAGCAATTATTACTTATCTTTTTTTTTCTATTTTCTTATTTGTCTCCTTATTTAATAATATAACAAGTTTTTTGCTACATTATAACCTCGATGAAGCATGGTTCAGGTGATTATGAGTAGGAGCTGCGGAAGATAGCTTCGATAGTTTTATATTTGTTTTTGTTTCTTATTTTTTCTTTTTCGTTTTTACTTCCTTGTAGTTTTTTGATGCGATCGTTATCTGTGAAAAATGTTTCTTCTAAGAACTGCGCGCATTTGCGAAGAAAATCTCACATGCATCAATCATTTCTCATATGCAGGACGTCCGCTATAGAAAAACATGTCGATGCTGAATTATATTTAATATTGAAATTTCAATAATTTTCTTTAAAAAATTTAATGTTTCATTTAATCAAAAAAATAATTATCATTTTCATAAATTTATCTATTAAAATTATAAAATCTATATAAATATAGAGCAAAGATTACTTTTTTTAAATATTGCAATTTGATACAAGATTTAAAAATAACATAGAAGACTAACAATCTAAGAATTAAATAATGTTCACAATCAATAATCTTTGTTAACAAAATACTTCGTCATTTACATTCAACTCAAATTATAATTAGAAATACCATACTATCATTTTTAATCTTCTTTTCAGTCTGTAATATTTATCTTTATTTCTAATTTTTGTATATCTTTTATACCTTTTTCATATTAGAAGAATTATTATATTTTATATATAAGTAAAAAATTACAAGCACAATAAATAATTGTAAATTTAACATTAATACGTACGAATATATAAACCATTTTTTAGATCACTATAATTCAATATCTAATTAATTAATTAACTATAAAATTAAATATTATACTAATAAATATTTATTATTTTATAAACATGTATGTGTGTGTGAGCGCACGAGCATGTGTGTGTATGTGTATGTTCGAAATTTTTTTCTAATTTAATAATAAATTAGTTCAAAAATTTGAATTTGAATGTTATTTTTTTCGAATTAAAATTATTATGAATTAAAAAAATGTTGTATAAAAATCTATTTTATTTCTAGACTTTTTTAAGTGATATATAAATCCTTCAAATAATTTTCAAATGACAATAATATGAAAAACATTATTTGAAGATTCAATACAATTTAAGATGCTCAACTAATTTTAATAAATTGATATTAAAAATGCCAAACAAATAATTTATTGTATTCGTTAAATGTTAATAAATTGTATGTAGAAATAAGGGAGAATATCAATTATTCTTATGCTAATAAGTATATGTGGATTATTATAAAGATATATTTACTTATATTAGAATTGGTTAATAATGCTTGTAACAATAGAATCGATACGATTTGATAATTTAATAACATTATTATGCTGAATTATTTGAGAAATATTAATTTTTATAAAAATATATCAATACCATTAATACATAATTTACTTGAATAATGTATATTTCATTATTTAGAGTTTTAACTAACCTTTACTTAATTGGATTTGATAACATCTGATTAATTTTAATGTTTTTTTCAGTAATTTAACTTTCTCTTAATTAAAAGTGATGATATTTTGTTGATAATATTGATTTTTTTTGACATGGGATAAAATATAGTAGAATTAACTAAATAAGAACAAACATATTTATAAAAATTACATTCAATCGGTTACTCAAGGAATAAAAATAAATTTCTTTGATAATGCATTCAAACATTTTCAATTTGAGTAAGTTAAATAAAAGTATAAATATTACACACATATTGTATCTCTTTATACAGACTAATTAGTGTAGTATAAAAATATTTTATTCAATGCCATCGATTATTAAGTTAATTATAATAATTAATTATTTTATTGATTCACATCAAATTTACGAAAAATGATAATTATTTTTTAGGTTCATATAATTTTTATATTGCACGATGCTAATATAGTCGAAGCAAATTTATTTTAATTTATAGCATTATAATTTTCAAAATATTTTCATAATTTTTTACTAACATCTTTAAAATTAAAAATCATGTTTATTAAATAAAAGATTATCTTTTTTAGTTAACGTTTATAAATTAGTCAAAATAATTATTTATATCGCACAGTACAATATTAAAAATAGATTTTATGTTAAATTTTAATTTGTCATATATTTTTAATTATATCGAGAATACTTTAAAGTACAAGTTGGTTATTTTTTCATATTGATAGATATGAAGATAAAAAAAGTCACTTTAGAAATTTTGAATATTTCCTGTATTAAATCAATAAATCCGATTCACTTTTCAATAAAATTTTGAGCTTACCTCGATCTAACAAAATTAACTTTCTTTTTTATTGCTGAAAAAAACTATGATTATTCAATTGACTATCAATGACATTTTTCAAAGGCTCGTAATAACTAATTTAGTAACGATTAACAAATGTGTGGGATAATTGGCTAATAAATTACTACTGATTACAGAAATAAATATTTTTCTAATATCCCGTGCAATGAAAAGCTTCGGTGCACTGACATACTGACATGCGATTGTAGAAAGGTAACAGAGGAAGCCGGAAGAAGTAAATTCACAAAGTTATTAAATATTCGACCTCGCAGTCGAATCACAAAAAGCTTTCGCTAGGCGGTTTAGTCGAAGTAACATCGATTATATCGTTATCCTGCTGATCAATCCTTGTGGCATTAGCGGCTGTAGCAGCTGCTGCGCTAACGGCTGCCGCCGTAGCTGCAGACGTGGTTGTGATCGTCTCGTTGGTCGATCTTACTATGTAGTTGTTAATCGGATCGCCATACTGACTTTGATAGAACTCTTCGCGCATCATGTGTTGCAGGTTACCACAGCGGAAGTAAAGGATTTCTCGGAAGGGTTTGCGGAAGTCACGATTAAGCGTGGCATAGATTATTGGATTGAGGAGGCTATTGCAATAACCCAGCCAGAGGAAAATGCTTGAGAGAAAGGCAGGTATGGCATCGGGGTCACTGAGAAAGATCCTAATGAGAGCGAGAACAAAGAAAGGGAGCCAGCATATAGTGAAAGCGCTCATGATGATGCCCAGGGTTGTGCTCGCTTTGCGTTCTTTAGCCAGCTGGAGACGAAGACGCTTCTGCTTGTGGGGCGAGTTTACCTCGCTGCTGGTGCTGTTGGCATGCTTGCGTTGACGGCTACTAACTGGTCGACAAGATCCATGAGATAGAACTGGGGGTGACATCGTTGAAGTTGATACTAAAATTGGCAGCTTTTCCGCGCAGGGCTGTAGCATTGGGCATTGGGACTCGTTGCTTTTTCGTGGTCCCCCCGCGAAGCATTTTACCGCGTGTCCGCTGCACTGTAATTACAATATACTATCTTTTATTTTTTATTCTTATGTAAAAGAAAAATGAAGACTTCGCATTGACAAAACATTGATAATATTTTAATAATAATATATTATCTGTATTTTATATTGAATGCACGCATGAAACTTTTATATTTGATTAAATATAATACTATATAGTATAGTATAGTATAGTATAGTATAGTATAGTATAGTATAGTATAGTATATATAGTATGGTACTATATAATATAGTAATTATAAAACAATAAATAAATAAACAAAGGAAAACAAAAATATAATGTGTTAATAGAAACAAAAATTATATTCCTATATTATATATATGTGTATGTACGCACACACGCAATATATATTTCAATATATGATAATCATAAATTTTCAACACATTTTTATAGTTTTTTGTACGAAACTGATTAATTGAGAATCTTTATAACAAGATACATTTTATAGATAGGAGTGTGTTAGCTCCTATATCAAAGTATTCATTATTTATCCCAAGCTATATTTTATTATAACGTGTACATAAAAATATATAAACATGTCAGAAGGGCATAATTAAATTGAAATATAGTTTTAATTAAATATTATTTAATAACGAAAACGATGAAGGACACTTTGACAAAGATATATAATTTTCTTTAGCTGAGGATAGAAAATGTTTTATTAATGTTTATTTTTAATACGAATATACTTTTTTAAATTTCAATTATTCATATATTATAATTGTGGAATTAATCAAGATAGGTATATTACCTTACAAATTTAAATGCATATATACATATATACATATGTGCATGCGTGCATTTATGTGAATGTATTTCTGTGCACGCGCGCCTGTGCGACTGTGTGACAAACATTTCAATAATATATATCGCGCTTCGAGTCATATTTTTTATCCTAATTGTCGCTTTGCCTACTTTATTTGATCTGTTTATATGGTAGCATATGCCAATAAGTTAGGTCCATTATTTATTTCAATTTTACTTGAAAAATTCTGCTAGTAATATCTAAATACTAGGTAGATTTTCTTTTAATATTTAAATGGCACAAAGTAGAATAAATCTAAAAAGATCAATCACATTTAAATCAGCATTCTTTAATAGGCTATACATGATAATATACGAGTTACTTTGTTTCGTGTTAATATCTATTCACTCTATTATAAACAATGGGAGATTAGTACGCTTTGGCTTTGTCGCAGTAGTAAAATGTAAGTTGAGAAAGTTTTATTGCGATAGCTTCCCATAAATATGATCGTCAGTTATTATTGGCATAATCATAATGACTTTTTAAATAAAAAAAAAAAAAAAAAAAAAAAAATTAAATTATGATTTAAATAACTCGTGACTTCTTGCAATATTATGTGAAAATTCATCAGGATCTAGTGAGATTTATATTTTAGTTTTATTTTTTTTTATCCAACTACGGTGTAGATATGAATAAGACATGAATTACAGTAATTGATAAGGATGATATTATTGCCTTAGATAAAAGGACTACTGAAATGAAAATTGGTTGATTAAATTGAAATGCAATAATTTGTATTAAACCGAACAGTCATAGATACCAGTACCAAGCGGACACAATGTATTCTATTTTAACCTCCACTCTTGATGAAATTTAGATGAGGAAACATTGTCATATAAATAATCTCTCTGAGTAAATTTTGATTATTGAAATTGTTTCAATTGATAGCACTAAAAGCTGAATGATCTCGTACAGCTTTGATCAGGTATAAATCATAATCTATACATTTAGTTCAATTTCTTTTTTTTCAAACAAAACTGAAGTTTTTTTTTAATGAGAGACATATTCTGAAAAATTTTTAAACCCTTGTTAATGTTTTTCTGAAATCTGAAGTAAAGTAACTATTTGTATGTTAAAGTGATGTTGGAGATAGTTTTTTGCATGAGAGTTCATTTGCGATTGTTACAGATTCGGTTGCTTATATCATATCCTTACCGAAGTTGATGTTGCGTTCCTGTCCTGTGTGTTGAACATCATTCATTTTTTTTTTTTTCATTGAGGGTATACTTTAGATAAGCAATCAACGTTTTATGCTCGGTACACATTGGTGCAAAATCTATCAAATCTTATTGATTCGATATGATGGGATGGGTTTGACTTTTAATTAATTTTCGAATCTGTGGAAAGATTTATGTAGAATAAGTCGCGTGAGTGTATGGACCGTATTAATGCCTCGTATTGAGATAAAAGATACTTCATATGATAAGGACATGTTGCAATCTTTTCAAAGATAAAATTGTTTACAAAGAAACAGATTTGTTTTTCTGTTTATTTCATACTTTTAAAATAATATATTTCACGCTATATAATAAAAAAGCGTTAAATTTTCTGTTTACCATACCTTCTTAGATCGTGTATTATTATTATTATCATTATTATTATTAATTTTTGTTCGTGCACCAGTTTTAATTCTAAATGCTAATTTAAATATAATACAGTTCTATAAAAATAATCAAAACATAATGTTATCATTTCGACACTTAATAATAGTAGTAGTAATCATAATAATCATTATTACTATAACAACATCAATAACAATAACAGTAATAACAACAAAACTCATAAATAAATGCGTTAATTAATCAGTAATGTTATTTCAACGATAATAAATTTATGTCGTAATCTTTGATATATCATTTGTATAAGTCTGTAATCTTTTTTATTGGCTAGTATGAATGGTACATGCCTATTTATATAGTAAAAATTTCAAATTTAGATTCATACAATTAAATTTAATTGAAAAATGTTTCTATTTTACATAGCTTGTATATGACGAGCTTTATCTGCTATAAAAGCATATAAATAGAGAAAAAAATTGATTTCTAAATGACCAGTAATAATTTACTTTAATATATTAAAGAAAAAATCATAAAGATCAATATTATTACATTTTACAACATAATAAGAAAGAAATCAAAGAAGTATTCCTAAAATACTGTAAAATTTGTTGCAAGTGTGTATAAATTAAAAAAAAGTAATAAGCGAATAAGAGAGAGACGTGTCTAATCCCAGTGTTTTACAGACCCTAGCATTTCAGCTATCTGTTTTATTGATCAGTTTGGAGAGACTTTACGCGATTGTGTATATCACCTTTTATCAGTTGGAATGTTTACTTCTCTTTCTATTTCTCATCTCATCTGTTTCAATGTTAGTTGGCTACGCGTTCAAGAGCTTTTGAAAAAGTTTCACGCTCTCTTGTGTCATGCCGACATCTTATACAAGACTGAAATTACATTGCGCGCTCCGATCAGTTCTCCCCCGTTTTCTCTAATCACTGAATCCCTTTTATTTTACGAACTTCGTATTTTTTCTAGCAAATATTTACAACGAAGCCCAGTATAAAAATTCGTGAAGTAAATATGATTTCTATTTTAAGTTTTGTTATTTTTCATTGCAACATTGAGTTTTGTACTGATAGTTTGGCTGTTTGAAATTTGTTATATCGTTTAACAATTAAAATGATATCAATCATACTTTATATTTTTCCATTATATATGAGACATTTTTAATAATAGAATTTAATATATAATATATTATTTATTATATTATTATACAAATTATAATCAGATTTTATAGCTATGATTTTTTATAATAAATATCTTTATTTTTTATTAACATAGTTATTTTAATTAATAAGAAATTATACAACCAGAAAATTATAATGATAGATTGAGAATTTAAGAAATATTATTTTCTGTTATATATCATAGCCATTACTTTGTAGAATTTTCTGCAGCTTAAAATTTTTATATTAAATTATATAAGTGAATAATATGACAAAGGAAACTTTTATAAACGTATAAAATTAGTTGTTGAAAAATTTCTTGTTAGAAAATAAATATATCAAAATCGATTGTGTAAAAATATAAAAATTTAAATTTCAAAACAAAAATTTAGTAATTTTAATTAGAACCCATAAATACTTTGTCAAATAAAAGAAACATTATTGTATTAATATATTCATTATATAAAGATGGCAATATATATTATAAATTATACTTTACAAAATGTTTCAAGTTATAAAAAATATTTATATATACATACGCGTAAAATTTATTTATAAAACTATAAAAAATAAATCACAAAAACTTTAGATTTTATATAAATAAAATCTTATATAAATAAAAATTATGAACATATACTGTAGACATATTTTTCGCATTGGGGATAAGTACTGATGTTTAAAGTAATTAATTTTATAACAAATAAAAATTAGTAATAATAAATATAAACGCAAGTAAAATATAAAATGTTGAACATCATTATGTATATGCCGCAAACTTTGCTAATGAAATATCTTCTTCCTTTGCATTTTCTTTGTTCGAGCACGACCAGTTAAGTACAAAATTCCAATAAGAAAAACTATTATAAATGTATTATATATTTTACTTCGTAAAATTTTAAAGATCAAATTGTAATTATGTGTAACTTGCTTTAGGAAATTTTTCATACAATTTCAATTTTTCAATTTTATAATATGATATTTAAAATAAATTAACAAAGTATAATGTTGATAAGTATTAGATACTCATTGAGTATTAAATTAAATAAGTTGTTTTTGTTGATATTTGTTTTTATTTGAATAACACAATACTTGTTTTTATTTGAAACATGCTATCATAATTTTATATCATAGTTGTTTTGTATATAAGTTAGCTCATGAGTATTATCAAATTAGATTTATATTCTACATTATATGTTTATTAAAGAAAGTTTTTACTTTGTAAGTTGAGTAAAAGAGAGGGCGGCAAATAAAATTAAAATTAAATACAATTATATGTAAGAATATTAAATACTATGTTTTGGAAAATATTTAGTGTATATATATATTAGCTACTTAGAAAATTATTATAATAAACTGATTAAAGCCTGCAAATATGTTTTTTAAAGCTTGCAAACGATAATAATATTATAAATATAAACTTAAAAATAATAATGATGGATAATTATTATAAATATGATTTT